CCACCTCGCTCATGATTCATATTAATCAAATTAATTTCTTGGTCTCCAGACAACGAATAATAGAAGTCTTTATTGTTTCTCGATATCAATATAAAGCATTAACTAGGTGTTCTCTTTTACAAAGTAACTTGATGTTAATTCTACAGATCTATGCTACCAATTTTTAGCGAAGGATAATGTGTTGAACAATTCTATCAGATAACGAAAATCATTCCATCATACTCAAAGCAAGCAAACCAGATGACACTGTAATTTTGAGACGATTCATGGCATAACTCTGGATGAACTAGGATGGTCTCAACCGATATTCAAAAATACACGTGAAAGAACCTAAACATAAGGGAACCAGCGCTGGCTTTCAAATCGACAAGAGCAGATACTACACTTAGATCTTCGCTGAAAAAGCCGAGCAGCGATAGCTATTTTTTTGTTTTGCTATAAGAAATCTTCATAATGATATTGTCATTTCGCATTTAAAAAAAGTAACAATGAAAATAAAATTAACAATAACACGGGATGATTTTATAATAGTGAATGTAACCATTTGGTATCATGCAGATCACTATTCAAAAAAATTGATTTATCTCAATCATTGTTCAACTATCTTACATCGAACAAATTTTATCTGTAGAGTTTTTATAAAAATGGTGAGAACCTTGAGATAGTAATCTAAATTACACCAGTTAGGGTGATTCGAATCATTCTAACTGGAGAGAACTTTGAAAACCTCTAGTATTTCTCAAGTAGGTTTTCAAGTATTGTTCCTCAAACAAGAAAATGTTCGTCCCATTGTTCTCTATCTTCTCAAGTGAAACGAGGCAAACATGAACTAATTTGATCGATTATCAATCGAAATTATGAAACATAAACAAAAAAGAACATGTTTTTTTCGAGTCATCCTTCCTATCTTTGGATGAATATTTCATTTTTATGAAAAGTCTCACGAAAAGAAAATAACTCGATGAAAAATAAACTACTCTCTCTTGATAAAAAAGAATTTGAAACCATCTATCAATTCTCTGAAAATAGAAAATTCTGTTGTGTGGATGAGATTAAAAATACTAATCGTATAATCATTAATTTATGTAGTTCTATAGTGTATATGTCTCTCTTTCATTAGTACGTGGATTAACGGTATATACATTGTTTAATGAATTTGGCTTTGTCTATCTCAATGAAAGATAATAATTCTGACTCATATATTCATTATGTTATACGTATTTCTTACATCTTCTCCACAGAAAAGGATACTTGATCTTATGTGGGACATATTTCTCGATGTCCAAACACTTACAATCAACATGTACTATTTTTTACACAAAATGAGTTGAATCGATTAGTTTGATGTAAATATAGTTTTATAATAATTGAAGATTACAATATACGAGTAGATTATTTTGTTTATGATATACTTATAGTATATTTCTCATAGAAAATGAATATTCTGAAACAAGTCAAAACAATTTCAATTCAACATTATACTGACAATATCTTTATTATGATGGTATTAAGAATGCTATAGATTCTTTTTATTTTACAATAAAGCATGTCCTTCAGACCATTTTTCACGGCGATATTTCTTGTTTTTTGACTTTGTTACGTCTAACTATACCATCATTCGAGATCATGAGCATTTGACATATGGAAATCTTGGTTTATTAAATTCATGTAGAATTATTCTATAAATAGTTATTTAAAATGAAAAGTATTGTCGATAAATTTTATATGTCAGAAGAAACTAGTGCTAATTATTTTCAGTTTTTTTTCTTTGTTATTATATAATTACATTATCGTCTAAGATAATATTAATAGAAATATCATGACATTTGTCGATCTCTATAAGAGATAGCTCTATTTAATTTTCAAGTTTAAATGAAAATTGTTCAAAGTTCTCTGCATACTGTTTTCTATTTCTTTTATTAAAATCATCATAATTGGTATACTCGAATGATGATAACATACAATACAAAAGTCATTCACGCTCCGGTGTCTTTTTTGTTTTTGATTTGTTTTTACAAAAAGAATTTCTTTTCCTAACTTATATTCCTATTATGAATGAATGTTTCATTTTTAGGAGAAAGATAAAATTTTATTTTTCTCTTTGCTCATAAAACTTTTCGAAATCTCAAAAATATAAAATATCCATGAAATATCGACGACAAACGAAAGAAATTTTAAAGAAATGTTTTTTTTTGATATTTCTTCTTCAAAAAGTACCTTTTTTTATCATTTCGATGATAGTTGTTGTTTTAATTTATTTTTCTATCTTCTCATGTTATAGCATTTTATTTTTCAAAATATATTCTACAAAATGAAACTAATTGATTGATGAAATCCTAGCAAAACGAAAAACAAAAAAAAATTGACGTTTCTCTATAAGTGAGGGCAGTCGAACAAGTATTTATTTATCGATAAATCCAAAATATAATGATTTCGGAATATAAAATGTTCTTGTCTCAAAAATGAATTTTTAGAATTAGTAGTTTTTTTTCCCACTCTGCCTTACACACTTTCTTTTGATACGTAAAAGGAAACGTAAAATTGTATGAGTAACTTAACCTTGTTTTTCTTTTTAAATTTCAAAAGAAAGAGAAAATGTAATCAGAAAATTTTATAATTTATTAGATGATACCTATAGAAAGTAATTATCAACTATTGCCTTTCTTTTCTGTTTTATAAAAGATTTAAACATTTCTTAGTTTCACGTACTGTGTGAAATTGCTATGAAACTTAATAATGATAAGTTTTCGAGTCAAAAATTGATCATTGAATCGAAAAATAGTTTTTCATATGGTTCATCTTTATATAAGGACCTAAGACAAGTTAATTCATCAACTCGAGTTGATTTTAATGAAGACTTCTCGTTTGATTACAAAGAATAATTTAAAATTTGGCATAAGATAAAATTGAATTTTCTTAGTTATATGTATCAATTATGAGTAGACAATAAATGGAATAAAGGAGTAACTATCATTCACTTATTATGAAGGATAGCTGTATAAAATAAATCTTTTCGATAAGCACTTTCTGTAAATATCACAACAAACTATCAATGACCTGTATTACTGATTTTTATATATGTATTCAATTGCATTCACAAATTCAGAGAAATAGTGATGAATATAAAACTCTCAAAATTATTTTCAATATTAGATTTAATCATTTCGTGATTGTGGATATATAAAAAACAAAACGAATGTTGAGACACATGCACCAGTAGTCATGAATTCCTCTCAAAATATACAGCTGCTTATACAGTATATATTATCGTTTTTTTTTGGTTTCCAGATCTATCTATAGAAAAAAAATTATTCATCTTACAGATTATGAATAGAAAACAGTGACACAAAAACGATACTATTTCTAGCTTTTGGGAATAGTTTTTTATACTAAACTACATACAATAAAATGTTAATAGAAAGAATGAATTGAGTTTAGATTTTATAAGCACTATCATTTTTACACATTTCACTTTCTTTTGAACGTAATCTAATGTAATGGGTAAAGACAAGAGGAATGCCGTTCTCTTACTTCATTAGTGACAAATTTTTTCTTGCCACCTGAACAATGTATCGCTTGTTACAAGGCGCAAGTGAAATTGGTTATTTGATCATATCAATTGAATGATGAAAATTGAGAAATATAAGAAAGAACAGAATTGTTTTGTTTATTGGAAATGCCAAGAACTAAATGCTTTTATTGATCAAATCTATTCAGTTTGTTTAAATATTTACGAGTATTGATCAATGAAATAGATAATTGTTTCTAATTACTGAAAAAATCACTGTCTATGAAATTATATCATATGCTTAGAATTAAATAAAGTATATTCTGTGTTTTTATAGATTGCAACTTCACAGACGATAAAAACAAATTTAAATAAAAAATAAACTTGTCGATCTAATGATTTCATAATAGTAATAGACCATTGTAGGTGTATTCGTGTATCTCATATGATTTTTTTCTCTCTTACAAAAATTGTTCAACAGATATAAGAACTTTCTTTTGTTTTCATAGTATTTAGTTTATTCAAATCTTTCATCAAATTATTGTCAGTATATTCTTTGTTTCGATTGCATGGGGATGTTATGAAGTTTCATCAAAAATAAAACATACTCAACAACTTATTTGTGTATTTTTCTTGTTAAGTTTTGATGTTTTTGAAAATAATACAGGCATATTCGGACATATATCCGTTTTCCATAATTTTATAAAGACAATTAGAAAAAGTATTAATTAAATAGGTATATACACAGCTAAAGGCCTACATAACTAGACTAGAATATTTTTTATTAGAATTGTCTTGATTTCCGTAATTGATATGACAAAAGAACAAATTGAAGGGTCTTCATTGCTTAATATAGTCATAAAAAACTATTCAATTCTCTCATCAATATAGACATTGTTCAATTGGTATTTTTTTGCCGATTTCGTTATGCAATGAACTGATGTAGTTATAGAATGTTTGGAAAAGGGACACTTTTATTGCGATATTTATTTTGTTTTTCTTTCCAAAAAAAGTGAACAAACGTGAGTAAATAATAGGTGAGAAAATGTACAAGCAAGACATTTCATTTGAAGAGAGCTTGTTACAATGCATAATTGAACTAAAGAAATAATAAAATAATGTATAAAAGGAAATTACTAAGATTATTAGTTAATAAAATTGATTTGAACATGAGATATCTTTTGTTTATGCTTTATATTTATTTATTTAAATCTTATAATTTCAATTAGTTTGTTATCTGTTGACAATAATAAGAAAAAATTTTGTTATACTCGAAGTATGTTAATTTCGTTGACTGAAAAGTGTCTCTGCTTTTTTTAGAAATCAAATTATGTATAGATCAAATATTTGATTTTGTAAAAGAAATCTCAATAATAATAAATCAATTAATTAATCAACCATATATTTCTATTCTCATTAGACTTTCAATGAAAAAATTTGATAAAGATGTGTTAACATTCTATGCGTGGAAAAGAATTTTCATAAGAACCATATGTCAAGAAGTATAAGTGAATCTTTGAAAAGTAGAAGAAAAATTTGATCTAAATCATATTTAAAGAAAATTGCAAATGTCTCCCTATGAAATGATATCCTTCTCGTTACTTTTATGAGAAGTTTCTATCAATAAAAAGGCTTATAATAAAAGACTTATTGACATATTTATATTCGATATATATGATAGAATTCAGATTGATGTTGATACTTAAAGAATATTTGTGTAAAGTTTTTTGTTTAAAATATCAAGTAACTTCTCCCAATCGTAACATATTAAACAATGAGTCTTTTGATAAGATTCATAAACAATTTTCTTTATGTTCTAATATTTATTCAAATTTAATTTATATTTCTTTTTTCAAATGACCTCAGTTCAATTCAAATAGTCATTAGTCCAGAAATCTTACTCATATGAACTGGTGATCGCAAGATTCAATTGGTATGATTAGGTACAACAGATCAGGCATCATATGATCATGGTTACATAAGAGGAAAATAATTTTTGAATTTTTATATCAAGACAGACGAACTCTTTGCCAGTATTTTCATATGAGGAAATCAAATATGATTTTTTTTTGTATTAACCTCTTTGTATATCTGTTGTGTCTGTTATTTATTTGATTAAATTAGTAAATTGAATGAAGACATTAATAATTGTTTTCTTATTCAAACGATTAATGTGGAAAATCAGCTATTGTAATCAATTTAAATTAAATAGTCTGGTTGCTTTGCCTTTTATTTTGAAGAAAGTTCGTTTCCAGAAAAAAGTGCATTTTGATCAGAGATTTCTCTTTAGGTTCTCTAATAGTGTAGAGCTAAGTTCAAATTTGGGTGTGAGTGTAGATAAAGAGAAGATCCCTACCCACACCCATACCCTTCAAAAAAATTTCTTCAAAAGAAAATTTTTATCAAGATCAAATAACAGGAAAATTAGAAGCTGTTGGAGATACAGTAGAACCATTTCATTTTATTTTACATCCAAAAGATGAACAAAATTTAACTTGTGAAGATCAAGATAAAGGAAAAGAATTATATTCACTTTTACTTCAGCATGAAATTATTCAAGGAGATACAATAAGAAAAATATTTCGAAATAATTCACAAGAACGAGATAAAATAGAAAAGATAATT